TAACTTTACATTTGGCCTTCCCACTGTTTTTAATTGTGTGTTGTCTTATTGCTAAGGTTGTAGATTTTATTGTCTATGTTTTTATTTTATTTGCTTGTACTTTTGTTGTTGTTATTATTGCTTGTACTGTTGTATTCAGGCTCGGCCTCATGTAAGCCGCACCGAGTCCCCTGGGGAGATGGTAGCGGGGTACAAATAAAGTGTTGTTGTTGTTGTTGTTGTTGTTATTATTATTATTATGTGTATATATATATATGTGTGTGTGTTTATGTGTATGTATATTGTGTATATGTATCTGCTTGTCTATATGCATATTTGTGTGTATATATCTGTGTATGTATGTGTAAATGTGTGTGCATGTGTATATATATGTGTGTGTATGTATGTGTGCATATGAGTGTATGTATGTGTATAGCTTTTTGCTTTCAGAAGGTTCCGAATGGTGCTGTGCAGGCACAGAGATTACCAATGTAATGCAGTGCCATACTAGTAATAATACAATATAATAATATATAATAATAGTAAATGATAAAACTAATATTGTGCTCTGCTAATAATATTATAGATAGATAGATAGATAATATAATGTAATACAATATCAATACAATATCATGTGTATGTGTGCATATGTGTGTATGTATGTGTATATGTGTGTGCATATGTATATATGTATGTATGTGTGCATGTGTATATGTGTGTGTATGTATATGTATGTATATATATATATATGTGTGTGTGTGTGTGTGTGTGTGTGTGTGTGTGTATATATATATATATATATATATATAGGTGTATATGTATGTGTATATATATTTGTGTAATGTAATGCAGTGCCATACTAGTAATAATACAATATAATAATATATAATAATAGTAAATGATAAAACTAATATTGTGCTCTGCTAATAATATTATAGATAGATAGATAGATAGATAGATAATATAATGTAATACAATATCATACTAATAACAATACAATACAATAATATATAATAATAATAATAGCAGTGTATTATATATGCATATAATATTGATTAAAATATAATGTAATGCAATGTCATACTAATAATAATACAATATAATATTGATTCTAATATAACCTAATACAATATCATGCGAATAAATATACAATATAATAATAATATATACATAATAATATTGTGATATAGTAATGCTAATATAGTCAATATTATACTACTAATAATATATAATGATAATACTATTTTATTATTGTATTGTTTTTGTTTGTATACATTGTATATCTTCTGTATTTTAAGTTGTAAGGTTTTGGATGGTGAGATCAAGTGGGATATAAATCAATAGAGACATAATCAGGAGCCTGAATCTCTCAATATTAAACATAATGTAATGCAATGCCATACTAATAATAATACAATATAATAATAGTAAATGATAATACTAATATTGTGCTCTGCTAATAACATAATATATTATAATTATAATATATTGCCATTTTTGTGGAACGACAAAGCGGCAGATGAAGCGAGATGCAGCGTTAAGATGTGCACCCAAACCAAACGTGATAGTGCTTCACGTATAGCTTTCAAGTGTTCAGTGAGCTTCTACTAGCTAGAGTGAACACCTCACGTAGCATGCCTTATCCGAGTGTTCCAGTGGAAGCTGATTTAGTCGCTTACAGCTGCTCAAGCTCACTAGATCACACGAGTGCATTCCATAGTCTGAGAGTGAGAAGCGTATCAGTGAAGAATTTTTATTCCGCTTCCTAGAAGTGAATTACAGTAGAAGCTTTTTTTTTTCGAACGGCAGTAGAGCGAGTTAGGGAGCACTATCTACTAGTGTAGTGAATTTTTAGTGGAAAGTGGGAGTGTTAGTCAGTTCAGTAGTGCATAATTCTCTCATCCAGAGAGCTGACCCTCTGTAGAGTGATCGTCAGTGAGTGAGTTCGAGTGACGGAGTGGCAGTCATTGTGACTGCGTAAAGTCTCTGAAGTGAGTCGAAATGATCAGTGTACAGAAAGCCCAGTGAGTGCATACGTGTAAAGTGAGCCATAAGTGGAGGTAATTAGGTGACAAGTGCAACGAAGTGATGAATGAGGCTTTCATAGTGATGAGCTACGTTGAGTGTCTTTCAGTCCAGTAAGCCGTTGTTTACGCTGAAGGTAGTGATTAGGTGCCTGAGTTGATCAGTGCAGCTGAGTGCTGATCCGCGTAGTGATGCTGCGAATAGTTGAGTAAAGTGAGTGACTTCGATGTGAGTGATGCGTGTCGCAGAGTGAGCTCTCAGTGAAGTGAGTGTATGCTGTAGAGAGTGACAGTGCTAGTGCCAGATGAACAGAGTGGACGGCGTGAATGTGTGTGAGCCTAAACGACAGTGGAAAGTGCAATAGCTGGAGCTAGTACACGCTGATTAAGAGATATAAGTGATGAAAATGTGATGGCAAGGACGTGCAACGGTAATCGAGTGCAGAAAGAACCTTACGTGTCTAGTGTTCCATGAGTGAGGAGAGGACGAATTTTTTTTCCCCACGTTGGGTTTAGTTCTGAGTGAGACTCAGATAGGAGTGAGTCTAGTGACTTTTGATTAGAGAGTAGAGCGACGTGAGTGCATGAGATATCACGCTAGTGCTTAAGTTCAGTCTAGGGAGTAGCGCAGTGATTTTTATGAGTGCATGCCAAAAGGTAGAAATAACGTGATAGATACCAGAAGCTAGTGACAGGAGCTGAACAGTGATTAACAAGGGAGAGGATGGAGCGTTAGGGGTATCTCGTGTGCCATAGCTGTGCAGCGCGCTGGGGGGACGTGTATGCAGCGAATGGGAGTTGCGTGCTGTTAGTGTTGGGGCGGCGGCACGGGGGGAGTGACAGGGCGCGGAGTGATAGGAGACGTGTAGCGGTTGTGCGTTATGTGCGCGCGGAGCGAAGGGAGAAGTGCGGGGTTGCCGTGCGTTCGTGCTGTGAGAAGGCGGACCGCGGCGGATGTAGCATGGAGCGTGGGGTATGCCGGTGTGTAGGAATGATGCGGCCGGCGGGGGATAAAGATGGGCGTTGCGTGAGGGTTTTTTTTTTTTTTCGTGTGAGTGCGGCCCAACGGCGGAAACCTGATGGAGATGCTGGGGTTGCCACGTGTGTGCTGTCGCGGACCGGCGAGGGCGGAGTGGCTTGCTGCTCTTGTGTGGTGTGCCGGCCGCCCGCGGAGAGGCATTTGGACGGAGGCGCGGGAGTGATGGAGTAGTGGCGGTTGTGATGATGTGCTGCTAAAGCGCGGAAGCGGCGCGCGGAGCTAGGAACGTGGGCATAGGTAAGTTTCCGCCCAGAGGGAACGTAGGCCAAGCGAAGGGATGTTGGTTTTTTTGTACTTTTTTCCGCAGAGGTTGGCCGGAAGGGCATGTGCGCGCCAGGGAACTTGCGGCTGGGCGCCAATGCGCATGCTCAGTTGTTTTGCCGTTTTGTGAGTGTGTTGTTGTGTTGTTTTTCATTTTGAGTAATATGTTTGTACCTTGTGGGTTGTGTTATGAGCATGGGAATTTTGGTTAAGTTTCGTTGGGGGATTTGTTGAGTTTTGTTGTTTTGCCGTTTTGTGAGTGTGTTGTTGTGTTGTTTTTCATTTTGAGTAGATATGTTTGTACCTTGTGGGTTGTGTTATGGGCATGGGAATTTTGGTTAAGTTTCGTTGGGGTTTTTTTGAGTTTTGTTGTTTTGCCGTTTTGTGAGTGTGTTGTTGTGTTGTTTTTCATTTGGAGTAGATATGTTTGTACCTTGTGGGTTGTGTTATGGGCATGGGAATTTTGGTTAAGTTTCGTTGGGGGGTTTCTGAGTTTTGTTGTTTTGCCGTTTTGTGAGTGTGTTGTTGTGTTGTTTTTCATTTTGAGTAGATATGTTTGTACCTTGTGGGTTGTGTTATGGGCATGGGAATTTTGGTTAAGTTTCGTTGGGGGTTTTTGGAATTTTGCTGTCCCGTTGAACCCCCTACAGATTTATATATATAGATGATTAACACTCAGACTGTTTGGCATAGGTTTGGCATTGGTCTGCCCATTTGGATCACAACAGCTAATCATTAGCCACTGTTTATAGTGTTTACCAATTTAATATATTATGTTAACACATTGCTTTATGTGGTCCTGCTGTTATTTCCCCCTCATGGATAACAAAACTTATCCAGCGTCTAGAGTTCGTTGGATGCCCCTAACAAATTTATATATATAGATTATAATATGTTATATATTATAATATATATTAAATATATTATAATACTATTTATTATTATATTATTATATAACTTATTACATTATATAACTTATTATTACATATAATAATTCTATTTATTATATTACTATTTATTATTATTATAGTATTATAATACTATTTATTATTATATTATTATATAACTTATTACATTATATAACTTATTATTACATATAATAATTCTATTTATTATATACTATTTATTATTATTATAGTATTATAATACTATTTATTATATTATTATTATATAACTTATTACATTACATAACTTATTATTACATATAATAATACTATTTATTATATTACTATTTATTATTATATTATTATATAACTTATTACATTATATAACTTATTATTACATATAATAATTCTATTTATTATAATACTATTTATTATTATTATTACAGTATTATAATACTATTTATTATTATATTATTATATAACTTATTACATTATATATCTTATTATTACATATAATGATGATACTGTTTTATTATTGTATTGTTGTTTGTATCCATTGTATATTTGCTGTGTTTCAGGTTGTAAGGTTTTGGATGTAAATCAATGGAGACCTGACTCTCTCACCCCAAAAGGCCAGCCTCCTCTGCTTTGGCAGCGCGAGGGTTAACCCTCCTCGGTGGGCGGGGCCAAGGGCCGGGTGGGCGGGGCGACGGAGGGGAGAGGGGCGCGCGAGGCGTTGGGGGGGCGTGGCCTAGCCGCGGCGGCGGTTGACAGGTGGCGCATGCGCGCTGGCGCCTCATTGTACCCGGCCGCTCCTCAGTCGGCGGGAGAGCGTCGGAGGGGGAGGACGCGCGCGGGGTCTCTCCCCATGGAGTAGGGAAGGCCGAGCCCGGCCGGCCGCCCCGATGGCGCTGGTGACGGTGCAGCGCTCGCCCACCCCGAGCGCCACCTCCAGCCCCTGCGCTTCGGTGAGTGAGTCGCTCGGGGAGTCGCTGAGGAGAAAGAAGCAGGGGAGCCGCCAAGGCGCATGCGCAAAGGCGCCCGCCGGGCTGGCCCGCGCCCTTGCGCATGCGCCGCGGCTTTCTCCCTCAACCCCCCCCTCCCACCCCTGCTTCTCTTTTGGAGGTGTTTTGTCCCCCTCCCCTCGCCGTCCTCCCTTTCCCCCCTCCCCTTCTCCTTCTCTGTAACAGCTGCAAGGAGGAGAAACCATTCATTCATTCATTGAACCCTGAATTAATTATGAATCTAAAGGGTTTTTTTTAAAAAAATCCCTTCTTATTATTTTTTAATTACCTAAATGATTAATTGGGGAAGTGATCAGAGAGATAATTGAGCCCAAACTGTTGCATCTCTGTTTGGTCTTCAAATTTGCAGCTCTTCTCTTCCTCTGTCATTAATATAATATACTCTTGATTAGGTTTGGGATCAAATATCTCTCACATAATATATATTATATATATATAATTTAAAACGATTATTTATTATTATTATTATTTATAATATTTATCACAAATATTATAAATATAATAATATTTATTATAATAATAAGACTACGTAGTAACAATAACAATAATATTTTATAATATTTATAATAAATATAATAAATCTAATAATATTTATTATAATAATAAGACTACTTAATAACAATAGCAATAATAATACTTTATAATATTTATAATAATAATAATAATAAGACTACTTAATAACAATAACAACAATAATACGTTATAATATTTATAATAAATATAAATATAATAATATTTATTATAATAATAAGACTACTTAATAACAATAACAATAATAATACTTTATAATATTTATAATAAATATAATAATAATAAGACTACTTAATAACAATAATACTTTATATTTATAATAAATATTATAAATATAATAATATTTTATAATAATATAATAATAACAATAAATATAATACTTTATAATAAAAGAATAGAAATATAAAATAATATAAAATAATATAATGTGTGATAATATATTTATAATAAATAATAATAAATTAAAAAAAACTAAGAATATAATAATATGACAACAATAGTATAATAAAATATAATAATAAAATAATAGAAATATAAAAATAATAATACTTTAATTTATAATAAATATTATAATAATAATAAGACTACTTAATAACAATAATACTTTATATTTATAATAAATATTATAAATATAATAAGACTACTTAATAACAATAATACTTTATATTTATAATAAATATTATAATAATAATAATAAGACTACTTAATAACAATAATACTTTATATTTATAATAAATATTATAAATATAATATCTATAATAATAGTAAGACTACTTAATAACAATAACCATGTCTGGTTGCCCCTGACACAATAAATAAAATAATTAAATAACAGTATAAAACTTTATAATAATAATACAACTTAATAATAATAATAATAACTATATTTATAATAGGATTAAAGCTTTATATAATATAAGAATTATATAAATATAATTCTCGCCCTGAGTCCCCCCTCCCCCGGGGGGGTTGAGAAGGGTGGGGTACAAATACCTAAATTAAATAATGAAGAAATATATTTTATATTACATGTAATAATACTAATAATATTACAGTATAGCTGTATAGTACAATATCGTAATATATAATAGTAATATTACATTGTATACACATAATATAGATGATATTATTATAATGCAATACAATATAAGACAAATAATAATACAGTATAATAATTGTATATTATATATTACATGTAATATTACCAATATTACATGTAATATTACCAATTACAGTATAGTGGTATAGTACAATATCGTAATATATAATACTATATTGTATACACATAATATTGATAATAATATTATAATGTAATACAATATAATACTAATAATAATAATACAGTATAATTGTATATTATATATTACATGTAATATTCCTAATAATATTACAATATGGTTGTATAGTACAATTTCAGAATATATAATACTTATATTACATTGTATACACATAATATTGATGATAGTATTATAATGTAATACAAAATAATACTAATAATAATACAGTATAATTGTATTCTTGCAATATAATATTATTGTATAATAATATTGTATTGTATTCACATATAATATTGGTTATATTATAAGGTAATGCAATATAATACTAATTTTAATACAATATAATTATTTTATATTACATGTAATATAACATAATATTGCAGTATAGTGGTGTAGTACAATATAGTAATATATAATACTAATATTGTGCTGTGCTAATAATATAATATATTGTATACACATATAATATTGGTTATTTTATAAGGTAATACAATATAATACTAATGTTAATACAATATAATTACACGGTGAGGCCGCGGACCATATTTTCAGTCTTCTGGACCACTGGTAGTCCATGGACCACAGGTTGGAAAACACTGGTTTAGGCCAATATATTTTGGGCTCGGAAATATATTGGCAGCCAGTGTAGGTGCTGTAATTGGGGTGGTATGCTCCCTGGGTCCAGCACCTGTCAATAACCTGTCTGCAGATGTCTGAAGTAGTTGGAGTTTCCGGGCACTTTTCAAGGGCAGCCCCACATAGAGCCCGTTACAGTAGTCTAAATGGGATGTAACTAAGGGATGTAACCAAAAAGTCACTCAGAGTGACTTACAACCATGAAATAAAATGTAGTAGATAATAATAATAATAATTATTATTATTATTATTATTATTATTATTATTATTTGTATCCCGCTCCCTCTCCAAAAGGAATCTGGGTGGCTTACAACAAAATTAAATCATAACAGATACCTAAGCCAAAGCAGAAAGGAAGGACATAATATATAACCAACAATCATATAATATAAACAAAATGAGATTAAAAAATTAATGCAAAACACCAACCATCAGTAAACAATTATTATATGATATGACCCTCTGCTTCTGCTGGCTTTTAATTGTTATTATTCAATATAATTGCTTATTTTAATTTAGAGTATATAATGTTTAGTATTGTTCTTTGTTTAGGTTTGTTATGGTTTTTGTTTTATGTAGGAATTGAATGTCTGCCTGTTGTGTTGGAAACCGCCCTGAGGGATACAAATAAATAATAATAATAATAATAATAATAATAATAATAATAATAATAACTGGAATATATGGCAGTGTGGACTCAGATAAACCAATCCAAAGTAAATATTGTAGGATTTTCTGCCTTGATATTCTGCATTATATGGCTGTGTGGAAGGGCCCTGGGATACTTTAGCCCAGAGTGTTGCATGTCTATTTTCTTTTAATACACAGGTATGCATTTAATTAATTGCCAATTGTGAAGATTCTGCCGAGGGAAGAGCTCTGAGGGATAGTATTATTATATTCCACTATTAACTCTTGATTGAGACACAAAGGCCAACGTATGGTACCTCTGTTGGCTTTATTTTGCAATCTTTCAACATTGTTCTCCTATTTATCAATGGAATTATTTGCAGAAATCTTAACAGAGGAAAGAACTGTGAGCTCAAATGGTTGCGTCTTTAATTTTATTTTCAGTTTCATTATGATTATTGATCATCTAAAGTGTGTGTGTGTGTCCTTTATGGGGAAAAATGGTGCATGTGGGATGTACTTACTTGCTTATACTTAGGTGATTATTTCTTTATTTATTGTATTGTCGAAGGCTTTCATGGCTGGAATCACTAGGTTCTTGTGGGGTTTTTCGGGCTATAGGGCCATGTTCTAGAGGCATTTCTCCTGACGTTTCGCCTGCATCTATGGCAAGTATCCTCAGAGGTAGTCTTTATTTATTTATTGACAACAGAGCGGCTTACAACTAAAAAGAAAATACAATATATTATATTATTATCATTGCACAATATTAATATTATATATTACATTGTACTATGACATACTGTAATATTATTAGTAATATTACATTTAATATAAAATATATAATTATAATATCCCTCGTTGTCCCAGTATGATGACCTTCCAAGTGCAGTGTCTTAGGTGACTGTGGAGCCCTATTCTTGATCCACATGTTGTTCCATTGAGGACATTGCTTTCTAGGTGGAGGGTGGTCCCATTCAGGGTTGGTCTGATGTGCCTTTCTCTTGGCACGTTTCTCCCTTTGGCCTTTCAAATTCTGCAGCACTGCTGGTCACAGCTGACCTCCAGCTAGAGCGCTCTTGATCCGCATGTTCTCCTACAGCGAGGAAATTGATTTCCATTTGGAAGACACCTGTATTGTCCTCTGATCCCCGCACAACCTTGTCTTCTGCCGATTCTGGTGCTGACTCTGGTCTTGTGATTCTGCTACAGAGCAGCAGAGAGGAGTTCCTCTTTAGGATATTGGGATGCCGCTCAGATTTCTGCTTACTGTTTGGTTTCATTTGAGCAGGCCCAGGTCACTGATGCAGGTGAGCCAAGTCGTTTGCTAGAAATCACTTTGGGAATAAATTGAACTGAATTAAACGAGCGACTAAGGCTTTGGTTCGTTTTCCTCCAGCGGTCACTGCGGCCATAAGGACGGGCAATCTTAAATACCTTTTTGATTTTCTCATGAGGATTTCCCCAAGTGACAATGATGTTACCATTAGAAGGCTCTTTCCCTTCCACTTCACATGCTTCCCTATTAATGCTAACGAGCTCCGTTTATTGCCTCCTAAAGTATGGTTTTATGCAAATGTTGCAGTGTCCGAGGAGCCTTCGCAAGAGGGTCAAGCCGACTGGAATGTCCTTGGGCTGAGAAGAAGAGCTCTGGGCCTTTCTGGTTGCAAGAGTGACGTTTAGTAAGAAATTCAACAAATGTACTCACATAGTTGGAATTTTGTGCTTAGCTTTTGTTTAGTTAATGGCGCTCCATGCAGTCATGCCGGCCACATGACGTTGGAGGTGTCTACGGACAATACCAGCTCTGCGGCTTAAAAATGGAGATGAGCACCAGAGTCCCAGAGTTGGACATGACTGGACTTCATT